TTTCATTAGATGCAGATTATCCTTTTGTTGATGGACCAAATAAAAACGTTTGTACTATTAGAGGAGACCAAAACCCCAATGTTCAAATACAAATGGCAATTACTGGTTATAAAACATTTGGTATATCAAAAGATCAAAATATGGTGTTACTATTAAAAAAATTGTTACATCATTATGGACCATTTTTAGTTTCTGTAAAAGTAAGTGGAACAGGATTTAGTTCATATTCAAGTGGTATTTTTTCTTTTCCATCATCTTCAATTTGTGATACTTCTTCTTCTTCGTTTATGACTGACCATGAAGTAGTATTGATGGGATGGGGTGTAGAGAATGGTGTTGAATATTTTATTGTAAGAAATTCATGGGCTAGTGGATGGGGTGAAGGAGACAATTATATTAGAATTAAAACAACGAATCTTTGTGGAATAGGATGGAGAATAGGAGATTATGTTTATCCCTTAAATATGATTGTTTATGCAAATACTTGCAAACTAGATAAATATTGTAGTTCTTGCAATATTGCTTCAAATATTTGTAGTTCATGTGTTTCAGGATATTCCTTAAATTCAAATAATAAATGTGTAAAAAATACTGCCAAATTAGTTAAATATCATTCTAATTCAACCTATGTCCAATTCTACAATCATACAATCTAATTTTAATTGTTTCTAAAATTTATCAATCAAAATTTTTTTTATTTTTATGATTTGATTGATACTAATACTAGTTTTGTTCTTGGGTATTACATAAAGATAAGAACTTTTTAATCAACAAAGTCTCATTAAAATTAAAATTGTTAATAACAAAAAGAACTAATAATTTTTTATACAAAGATAATAAAAGATGAATAGACAATTCATTCCTGAATTTCCAGTCATACCAATGAGAAAGTCAGATCCTGCAGATGTTACTTATGCCTTTACCTATGCACTTCAGAACTGTGTATTAGAAAAAAAAGCGATGTTGGCATTACAAAGTTTGAGTCAATTAAGACAACAGATTATTTCAGTTGAACCATCTCAACAACTAAGAGATGTTTCATGGAAGTATTATCAATACCTAAACCAATTATCAGGAAGAGTAACTATTAATCTACAATTTACATGGTATGATACATACTTACAAGAAGATAGTAAACCAAAGAAATTCATATACTCAACACTTGATTTTGAAAAGGCTAATGTTATGTATAATATGGGATGTTGTTGCATGGCTCTAGGTTCTTCTTTTTCAAAAACAACTGATGCAGATTCTCTTAAGTCAGCTGTTCAATCATTTCAACAAGCTGCTGGTGCATTCCAAAAAGCAGGAGATTGTGCCCAACTATGTGCAGCAAGTAGTGGTGATCTTCATCCACGTAGACTACAGACATTAACAACTTTAGCGTTAGGATGTGCTCATTTAATTATGCACATTAATGCTGCTGCTCAAGGAAAGTCTGAGTCTCTTCAAACTAAATTAGCTGCTGCTGCGGCAAATCAGTTAATTCCATCAGTGGAAGCATTTAAAACATTTTATAAAATTACGGTTGGATTTAATTTCCTTTCCAATTTCATTATTATTAAAGACTATGCTATTTACTGTGTACAAACATTGGCTGCTAAAGGTGCAGAAGAAAAAATGGAATATGGAGAACAAGTGAAACGATTAAAATGGGCAATGAAAGCTATGTATCAAGCGTGTAATATGGCATATAGTTCTGCTAATAAAGATGCATTAAAAAAGATTTATACTGAAGCTAAAGCGGCTTATACTCAAGCAGAAAAAAATAATAATAACATTTATATGAATAATTTACCAAGAAGAAGAGATCTTCCACCAATAACTGAAGTACTTGCTGCTAAACCAATTGAATTGGAAACAATAGAAAATATTTTTGATAATATCCTTCCAGCTAATTTATCAAAGGCATTAAATGAATACAATACTAAAGCTCAAGTTATATTAAATGATTCAAAAAAAGTTTGTGAAAGTAAAACAAATGAAGGGAATAGAATTATAAATAGTTTAAAAGGAAATTCATGTGATATTCCACAGGATATTATTATTAATGCTAACAGACTAAAGCAATTAAATACATACAATTCTATTTGTCAACAAATAGAATTCATTACCACTATTGATGCAGAAACAACTGCCTCATTTGAAAAAGGAATAACTGCATTAGATTCTGAAGCAGCTGAAGAAAGAAGATTAAGAGGACAATATCCATATCAATGGAAACGTACAGCATCAGAAATGGCAGCATATAATTATCGTAGAGAAAGTGAAAAGTATAGAGCATCATTAAAACAAGCTAAAAATATTGATGATAATATGATAAATAAATTTAGACAATTCGAGAATGATATTAAATTGTTATGTGAAGGAAATATTCAACAATTATTTGGAACAAGTAATATTAATATTGAACAGACTGAAGTGAAATGGAAAGAAATCATTCAAGAACGACAAAATGCTCTTGAAAATATGATTAAAATATATGAAAAAAATGAAAAAGAAAAAGTTGGAATTATTAAAGGAGGAAATGGTAGTAACCAATGTGTTATAAATTTATTGAAGGAATTTGATAACACTAAAAACATTATTCAACAAAGTTTATTTAAACAAAATAACTTATTTAGAGAAATAAATAATGGAAATAGACCTGCTGCTATTACTGGAATGGTCCAACGACTAAGAGTGGCAATTAATGCTGCTGATGAAATTTTAAAAACATTACCTCAAAGTATTCAATTCCATCGTGATGCTAAAAATAAAATAGATTCTTTTCAAAACGAATGTATTAAATTCCAAAATCAACGACAACAAGAAGCACTTTCTATGGTACGTTCGATTACAGGAAATAGTCAGCCTCAACAACAACCTTATAGTTATGGAACCAATCCTATGTTTCCATCTCTTTAATTGAAATTGTCATGTCGTTTGATTTTTTTGTTCATATAAAAAATCTCAAGATAGATATTATTCTTAAATGAAAAGTTAGTGTTGTTATAGTAAAAAAGAAAAATGATTTATGAATTTGTTATGATTGAGAATGTAACAAAAAACTTTATTCTTATTGAAAAGTTATTGAGTTTCTTTGTTATAGGTATTGCTTTCTTCCTTTTTATAACATAGTCATTGGATCATATGATATCTTCAATTATTATATAAATACAACATTTACATTCTCTTTCTTGATTAGCTATTGCATTGTGTCAATAATTGTCTTGACTATCTGCAAATACTGGTTTACATCAAAATTTTCACATGATTATATCTATATAGGATATACCATTCTTATTTTATGTTACTTTATCATGTCATATAATTTGACTTACATACCTTCTCCAACAATTTAATTTAATTTTCACCACATAATTATTAGAGCTGCTTTGTTAACCACGGGAATACATACACCCTACTTTTATCACTATTATAATAAGAAAAAGATTGCTGTAACTGGTGTATTCTTTACAAGTGTATCCATAAGTGCAATAGTCCCAGTATTGTTTAGAGTATTTTCTCATGAGATCTATATTTTCTAATATTTAAACTAATACACTTCTAGCTTATTTCTTTCTAGTGTTTTTAACTATAACATTCTATTTATTTTACCTAATCCATATGAAGCTTGATTATGAAATTGATGATATTCCAAAAAAAAAGAAAAAGATTCAAATGAAGATAGTAATACTTCAGAAGATATTAATGAACTACCGTTGGAGTGTTATTCAATGTGTTTACTAAAATCAACTCATTACAAAAAAAACTCAAACATGTACATCATTTTTAGGTATTATTGGTATATGCAATCAAATTAGATTTGTCTTCTTTGTTCAATAATTTTGTCAAATATTACATCTTCACTCTTCTCATCACTTTTAGTTAAAACTAAGTATATTAATAATAATGAAAGTACAGATAATAACCTCAACACTGTTCTAATTTTCTGAGTTTCCGATTTATTATTTAAGTCTGTTGAGTTTGTTGATGTTAAATTGAGTAATTGTATATTGTTCATTAGGACATTACTTAGAACTATATTATTCATTCCAATACTGAACATTTATTTATCCAATAAGTTTGTCTCAAAAACACAACCATTTTTAACTACATATATTTTAACACAACAAACGGATATTTATCAACTGTGATAATGCAAAACATATTAAAGAAAAGAGAGAATTAGTAGGATTGAATTACAAATAGTATCATCTTTCTATCTACAAATATTGTAAGGTATATTGCATCGTTTGTAATCTATGGATTATTTGACTAATTTAATAGCTCAATATTGTGTCAATTCAAAATCAAAAAAAAATATCCACTTATTTAGAATTTTTTTTAATAAGAAAATCAAAGACTTTTTAATAGTAAAAATAACTATAATCCACATTACCTACTCAAAACCATTCAACTAATATCAATCTAGATATGTTTTTGTCAAAACCTCATAACCATTAGCCTTTTTTTTAATAAAATTAGAGAATATAAAATTGTTTTTGATTGTTTTTGTATTACCATTAACTCTGTAATTGCTTTTCTTTGTTTTATTGCGTTTTAATGTACTTTAAGATAAAAAACATTAATCAAACATGAGTAAAAAAAGCATTTCTCTACATTATAACATCACTCATAATTAATTATATAAACTAAAAACTCTTTTTGTTCATAGTCAATGCTTTTAATATTATTCATAGACTATGCAATATTTTGTCTTGATGAAAATTTCCTGAATTACTCCCAGAACTTCATTCAAAAATTAAGTTAGACCAAATTAGTTTTGATTCTTTTTTATGACAAAGTTTAGTAAACAGTTTAAAAAGTTAAACTAGAAAAAGACAGATATAATATATATGTATTTGTTTATCACTTTGTTTCCTTTCATCTTTGTCGTTGTGTTATTGATTTTCCTCAGATATTATCTCCCTTCTCATTTTAGACTTATTCCTCCACCTCCTGACTTATTTATTTCCAAACCATTACCAACTCCTCCTCCAAAAAATATTTCAATAATGGGAGCTGATGAGTGGATATCAGTGTATTCCAACCCACTTCAATTAAAATCAGACTGTGTTATTATTTATGGAAAAGAAGAACATCTAATACAATTCAGTGTAGATAGTGAAAATATTATTATTCGTTTGAACAACCAAACGTATAAAAGTAAAATTAACGCATTGACTATTACAAACATATATTTTAGTAAAACTAAAATCAATAAAAATAATCTCATTCAACTCACTAGTCCAACAGATATTATCCCACTATATGACTCTGTTTGTATACGATTTAGAGAAGGATATCAAATGGAATATTGGTATTACTACCTCAAAGCCTGTCAAAAGGGAAGAAGAAAGTATTATACTGGTGATGAGGCATTTGTTTCATTATTCAAAGAATTGAACAGACTATCTTCACAAAATTCTAAAGAAAGTTTTCCTTGGATACAACTATCAAATTTCTTTATCGGTAGGATATTTTACACTAATGCACAAACACAAAATATTGTAGATAAAATCAAAGGCACAGTAACCCGTAAATTACAAAGTCTGGTATGCACAATGATTCCTTCCATTAAATGTACTGACTGTTCATTAGGTTGTCGTGCCCCATTGATTAAGTCAATCATTTCTCATATTCCTAAAGAAACTGATGGAAGATTTTTATTAGATTTTGACGTTGTCTACAATTCATCAAATTTTATTGAAATTTCATTGTCCTTTGTTATTCCTTACTTCCTTGAAGAACCTCTTCCAATACGAATTTTAGTATCACTCCCACAACTTTCTGGAACCTGTCGTGCTGATATACCTGATGTACCATCGAGAAGCATTTATTTGTCTTTTCATCAACTCCCCAAATTCACTCTTAAATATCAAATACAAATCGGAAGGTATTACTTTGTTCCAACAAAGGCTATTGACTCTATAATCCATTTTATAGTTGAAATGGTTATTGTTAAAAAAATGATACTTCCATCATTATTAAGAATTCCAATTCCACAAATCAGTGAAATAGCTCGGCCAACACAATTTGATACTTACAATCCATTTGTTGATACAAAATATAAATTACCAGACCTCCCTTGTATGTCAGACAATCTTAACACCTCTCCTTATATACCTGATGTTTTATATACAGAAGAAATAAAAAAATCTGATCTTGAAAATAAAAAGTTTGATATTTTCAAGTTCAGTCGTCAAGTAGCAACAAAATTTTTTGATCTCGCTGTCAGTGGGGAATTTAAAAAAGACTTCAGATCAGAAAAAAAACTTGAGAAACATCAAAAAATCATTCTTAAAGAACAACAAAAACAAGAAAAAAAAGAACTTAAAAGTTTTAAGAGAAGAGAAAAACGTCATACTATTCAAACTACATTAGAAGAATTAGAAAAAGTGAATGATGATATAAAAAAGAATGAACAACTTGACAGTCCAAAAATAAATCTGTCAGTGAATAAAGAAGAGTTATTATCAGCCAAAAGTGATACTATTTTAACAGAAAGAAAACAACAATCTTTAAATTTCCAACAAACAATGGGAAGAAAAGATGAAACACTAATCGAAAAAGACAAAGTCGTAAAAAAAGAATTATCTGAACAAAAGAAAGATAACTTAATAACTCCAAATGAAAAGGCAAAATTATCAACACAGAAAGAATCACCATCTTTCTGCTCTTTTGAATTTATGAAACAAAAAACCTTTACACCAAGAGAAGAAAGAGATAAATCAGATAATTTCTTCGTTCATACTTTTCCATTTCAAGAAGAAACCAAAAGTCAAGAAGGAACTCCAAAAAGATGTGATTCATCTAATGAACTTGAACGAGTAAGAAGTACGTCTCCTGTAGGAGAACCAGAACCTGAAGAGAAGAAAAAGAAAAAAACAAGCCTTAGTATCAAAGAACGAATTATCAGTAGTTATGCAATACAATCAGCAATTCATAGGGTACGACATAGTTCAAAAACAGAAGAGAAAAAAGAAGAAAAATAATATTATAATACCAAAGTCATAAATTAATTAAAATGACAATCAACTATTGTTTTTTATTCAGTACGGAGTAAACAATTAGTGCGAATAGTTTCAATATCCTGCTGAGTTAGTCCAACAAATTTAATTAAGTAATTATCAATAGTTCCATATTTCTTTTTAATGAAATGTTCAAAGTCAATGAGAAGTTTAGAATCTGTTTTAGCTAAATCAATACCCTTTTCATCTCCCCCAAAAGTCTTGAAATGATCTTTTGCAACAATTAAATGATCTTTTAAGCTTCTATCACTTAATTTGTAATCTGTAATACATTCATCTAATGATGCCCCTAACAACATTTCTAACATACACCCAATAAGACCAGTTCTATCTTTACCAAAAGAACAATAAAAGATGAAAGGTTTATCTGAGTGTTGTGCAATAAATTTAAATAATCCGTATAACTCTTTTTGACCATAATGATAAATAACAGGATAGTACCATCCTAGTGGTAATGAAGTTGAAGTAGACTTCATTGCACCAACAAATAAATGGAATCTTAAAGTGAGTATAGCAGACAAAATCAAATAAGCACAATGGATCATAACCTTAAAAGGTACTCTAAATATCATATAAAAGATACTTCTCCAAAACGGAATTAATGGGGCATTATAAAAGTTCACTCCACATTTATTTACCATTTCTCCAAATCCAGAAGGAACCTCATCAGATGACCTTAAATCAACAAGTGAACAAATTCCTTTTTCATTGTTTAATTTTTTAATATCTTCTTCTCCTTTATTAAAGAAAAAACCACCTCTAAAAATGTGGTTTGGTTTAATTTTTCCATTCTTAACTTTAACATCTTCAATACTTCTGAAGTTATAGATATTACCTACCCAATATTCATTTCTTGGTTGTGACATTCCTTTTGTCCTTTTTTAAATAATAGTTTGAGTGTCACATTTTTATTTTTTTATCTTTTTTATACCTTCAAGACAAAGGAATAGGATTAATATCTCCTAAGTCAGAAACAATAAAAACTTATTTTATTAATACTTAATTAATTGCTTTTTATTATCTTTTTATATCTACTTATACTCTTCCTTTTTGTAAAAAACAAATTCATATTTCTTAACTATAACTCTAAAAATGATACTTCAAAAAAGAATTTCAGTTTATTTCTTACCATAATAATATGGCATATATTGTCCAAATCTATCATAATAAAATTGATATTTCTTTCTAATGTCTTCATCATTAAAGAAATATAATTTGTCATCATGTAATTTTCTTCCATGTTTTCTTTGAGGATCTCCTTCTTTGATAATAAATTCTAATTGTTTCTCGGCTTCTGGAGTCATTTCAATTCCAAAATAGTCATAAATCTTTTGTACTGTCTCTTTTGGTTTTGTTACAGCTTCAACAAATCCAACATCAAAAATTCTTTTAGCTCTTGATGGATCTTGAGCAACCCAAGCATCACGTGCAGCAATTGAATTTTTCAAAACAATTTCATTTACTTTAATAGCAAATTTATTTAACCATTCAATATCATCTTTACCTAAGTCATATTCAAATCTTCCTTTTGTAGCTATAAGTAATGGAATAAAAGATTTAAGTTGTTCAACTGGTTCTCTGTGAATCCAAATAAAACGTGCATTATATTCATCTCTTCCTAAAACATCTAACATTGGTACCATTGTTGCAAAATGATTGACAGCTTTAAGACATAAAAATCCATCTTCTCCTTTTAATGGAAACTCTTCTAAATGCATTTTAAATTCATCAATAAGAGCTTCATAAACATAATGATAATCTCTTTTAAATTGGTTAACTCTAAATTGTTCAAGACGAGGTATAGCACTTGAAATTATAAAGCATTGTCCAAGCATTTCCATAAAGAATAATTCTTCTTCATAATTCATGAGACTGTCAAGGTTATGAACAGTATTCATTTCAGTATGACTTGACTCAAATAACTTTAACACATCTTTAAGTACATTCTTTCTACTTTCACTTTCCATTGTTTTACTTCCTGGACAAATATGTTCATAAAATCTAATTCCATTAGCCCTTGGATCATTTACAATTAAATTATGTAAATATGTTGATCCACTTCTTGGTAATGAAGTAATAAATATTGGGTTCTTAATAACAATTTTATCTAATTCTTTTCTATACATTTTTCTTTCAGTACTAAACCTCATATATGTCATTAATTTCCCTGTTACATTTCTTGCCATTTGTTGAAACATCGGTGATTTCATATCAAAACACCCTGCAAAATAATCTCTCATAGCAGGTTTAAATTGGGGATCAAATAATGAATCTCCTTCTTTTAACATACTCTCATATAATTCTTTATGACTTGGATCATATTTACTAAGATTATCAACAGCTGCTTTTTTCATATTTTCCCATATTTGATCAAAAACAGGTTCAGGTAATTCTGGTTGGAGATATGGGTTAGAAGAGTCTAATTCAAGAGAAAGTGGATTAGTAAATCCATGAAGAGCATATTCTTGGGAACTCATAATAAATAATCAGTTCTAATTTAATTAGAGATTAAACTTTATATTTTAGTAGTCAAAGTATATTTTAGATTAAAATGATATTATAAACAAAGCTATATTTATTATAATATTTTACTATAATCTATTAATTGATCTTTTTTTTTTTTGATTATTTTTATGTTTTATATTGGAATATTCATTTTCTTTTGTTATTTCTTTCATTTCTATTTATATTTTTATTATTTTTTTGGAACATTAATTAATGAAATTAAATATCGAAATTAAATATTAGAAGATGGAAAAAGGTAAGTCAAAAGAGAAATTGAATAAAATAATACCAATAAAATAAAGTATAATACATTATAGAATAAGTAAAATAGTATTTATGTTAATTCATTGAATGTTATTGTTTAATTACGATTATATCGTTTCATTTATTAATAGAATTGAAGAAATATGATATAATATAAAATGAAAATAACAAATAAATAATACCATAAACATTTAATATAACTAAATGGTTATATAATAAAGAAATAATATTAATAAACACAATGAAAATGTTAAATGATGATTAAAATATAATAGGAATAAATGAAGAAAGAAAAATAGAAAAGAAATAAAAGAAGAAGAAGAAGATAAAAAAAAGAAATGATAAAATAACAATTAGAATGAATTAAAATTCAATTGAAAATTAATGTAAATAAAATATTAAATATCAAAATGAAAAAAAAATTTAATAACCAATTGAATGAATAATAAAATCAATACAAACACATAATGAAGTAAATAAATAATAAAATAACATAATACAATAGTGAACATTCAATAATAATTCAACAACCAACAAATATAACCACTATAAATTTATTTTATTTGAAAAAAAGTATGTATAAATTATAGTCATACTATAATATATTTATTATATATTAGAAAAGAACAAAAAACTATACTAAATTTAAGTTTTATAAAACAACAAAAATTTTTATAATAATAAAAAACAAATAAATAAAAAGTCAAATTGTTTAATTATCAGCGGCTCCTTCTTTATTACCTCCTCTAATAAGA